TTGCAAAATATATTTATATAGAGATATACATATATATACTATGGTTTCAAAATGTTTACAAAAGGTTTTAATTCCCGAGATCTATGTGAGTAGAGAGTGCAGCACCGCACCTTGCAGTCGAGGGAGAGGTCTTCTCTTGTCGGGTAGTGTTTGATCATTATGGGCTGAGAGGTTAAGTGTAAGACCATTGAGAATTATACCTGATGGGCTAATCTAGCATCTGCCCACAGTCCTTGGGCCTTCATAAGATGGTTGGACCCAAGGACCATTTAGTGTAAATGTTGGGCCCATTAAAAGCCCATAGTGATGGACTCAGGGGTTCACTGTATTCAGCAGTGAATTCGGCCAGGCCTTGTAACAGAGGCTAGGCCAAACCCATGTGGCTGATGTGTAGATCAATGATAGGGTCCCACGCCATACAAAGAGAGAAAAGCTAGCCAGCATTAAAGAGGAAGTGAGCCTGAAAGCTTAATGGGCCTAAAAGCCCATTTCGAACTGGGTTAATTAGATTCATTAAATAGGGGCGGATCTGGGATTTGGATCAATAGATAAGATAATGGATTATCCTTATCCACTTAAAGAGTACAAATCAAATAAAGATTTGGATGAAAGGAACTCCTAATTTGATTAGGAAGGCTAATCTTTATCTACAGATAAGATAAGGGATTATCCTTATCACTTAAAGAGTCCAGATCCAAATAAAAGATTTGGATCAGGAAACTCCTAATGAGATTAGAAAATTGTCTCTTTAAGGCTATAAATAAGAGAGTAGGGCGACCTGTGAAAACACACTCACTCAATACAGAGAGAAGACAACTCAGTTAGACTGATCTTGCCTTCTGCTTTCTTTTTTTCCTGCTCTTGCCGCCCTACCTTGTTCGATCTCCAGTTCTTGGATTTGATCAAGATTCGATCTTGATATTGTTTCTTGCCAGAAGAAACGATTTGAAAGTTGTGCTCACTGTCCCATTCGATTCTTGCTGAATCACTAGTTCTTGGTGAAGAACTACCTGTTGATCCTGTCTCATCCTAAGTTGTGTCATCTTCAGCGGAGGGAGGATTTGGTACTCTTTGGGCGTGAACACCTACGTTGGGAGGAGCATTCTTGCGTGGATTCCGTGTCAGGTATATCCCTCCCTTAATTTGGTTTCAAATTTGGTCCGGTATGGTTACAAGAACGAACCTTGAAAATGCAGTTTTCTAAATTGGGAATAGGATTCTCAGATGGGAGTAAATAAATTTTTTGAAATTTCGCCCAACCTTCCTACAGGGTTCGGCCATCCATATGATG